TAACTTGAATTTCTGGAAATCTCCTTAATATCTTTGGATATCATAAAATCTTTCTCTGGCATACAAAATCTCTTCGAAGAGTATTCCAAAATCTTTCAGGATCTCCTCAGATGTCGCTTTAATCTTCTTGGAGCGTCCCAGGAATATTCGAATTTTGTTGCAGCTTCTCTTGATATCTTCGGATATTCTTTCTTTTGAACGCAATAAGGAATCTCCTAGGATATTCCATGAATATATTCAAATTTACTTGATTCTCTTTGAATTTCTTGGGATCTGTAATATCTCGAAACTTTCTCCTCTTGGGGTACAAATATCTTTAACAAGTAGGTATCCCAAAGTCTCCTCTGGATTTTTTCAGATCTCTTCTGAATTTCCTTAGATATCCTCAAGTCGAATTGGCTTTCTGGGAATCTTCTTAATATCTCTCGTCACCCTGAAATTTTTTTCTGGCAAAATATCTTCAAAAAGTATTTCAAAATATCCCTAAATCGACTCAGATATGGAGCTTCTTCAGATACTCTTGGTATACAAATATCTTTAACAAGTATTCCAAATTCTTCCCTGAATTTTCTCAAATACCTTCTGAATTTTTTGGATGTCCTCGAATTCACTTGGATTTCTGGGAATCCCCTTAATACTCTCGCCGCCAAAGATATTTTCAATTTTTTCGTCGTGGGCCAAAATGATATTGTGATTTATAATGACCAGATAAATTGTTCTGAATTGTTATTTTAGTTTTATTTTAAAGGGGGTGTGACCCTAAAAAACGACTTAAGCTACCTAAATCAAGAAAAAAACTCTAAGATCTCTCGTGAAAACCGTATTTCTCTATTCAAAATAGTCTCCGAGAAAATTCCTTGTGAAGATAAATTATACAGGAACTTGTGATGTCACAACCGCCGAAATCGCAGTCTTCTGTTCGTTCAGTCGTCAGTGAACCGTACCGTATACTTTGAGTAGTTGCAATTGGCTCTAGGAGATAATTGTCTTTTGTTTTGGAAAATTCTTACGCGTGTTAATACTATCCCTGATAATCTAGTGCCACGTCACAAACACCTAGTTGTAACTTTAAACCGCCCTAGCTCGAAAACGGACCATCGTAGCAAGATGCGGTTTAAATATTTATTCTTAGAGTTTTTTGCACTAAAACTTTAATTTTTGGGTCACACCCCCTTTAACCCCTTCCCCCCTAACCCCATTTTTTCATAGTGTACATTAATGTGACACCTTTTTCATTTTACCGCCACCCCGTAAGTTGTATTCGTCCTACGCCGATACTCTGTATACCGAAGTAAAGCCACAGGCCAACAGAGTAAATCCCGCATATGAAATACGTTATCGGTGTTACACTTTTGATATACCAGCGTTTTAACCAAAGCGTTGCTGGTGTACACTATTGTTAAACGTGTACAGGGTGTTAAGTTATAAAGTACCACCACCTGTAACTTTTTTATTTTTGATCGTACATAAAAAAGTTAGAGGTGGTGGTACTTTATAAGTTGACACCCGGTATGGTACATTAATGTTTCACGCTGGTCAATATGGTAATTTATATACATTATAACATTATATACAACTACAAACTACATACTACATCGGTAAATAACAACAAAATATAAGGTATGTGGAGTAAGTAGGTACCTCAGGTTCCTACTTTTTTTATGTCTACATACACTATATACATAGGTACCAAATTCAATAAATGATTATCAAAATTATTTTTATGCACGACCCACACTGTAAGAGCTTATTACGTAACTAATTTTAGCCTGTTTGAATTACGTAATAAGTTGTATTATCGTACTTAGTGGTGTAATGAGCTCATTACGTAACTCATTTTTATTGCAAAAGGGCACTTTTTAAAATTCAATTATTCGAAAAAAATATAAATCTAATGTATTGAGAAAAATTAAATCCATCTCGAATACATAATAGAGAAATCTGGGTCGTACATAAAGTGTTGTATATTCCACGTACGGTAACGCTCATTACAACACTCGTGTGATTACCACGACTCGGACTACGACCTCGTGTTGGCAATATTCCCCACTTGTTACTGTAATGAAGCTCATACCGTACTAGTAATATAAATAACTACCTATTATTGAATGGGGTTTGGGTTGGGTGGGCCACTTCACCATTTGCCCGGTGGGCCAAATGACCCCCAGCTTTTGAAATCTGGGTGGGAAGTCGAATGTGGGCCGATCATATAACAGTGGCGGATACAGGGGGGGCAACTGCCCCCCCTTTTTTAAAATAAAATAATAAAATTAAAAAAAAAAAAAAGAAAACCATATTTTAAGTTTTAAGAATGTTTAGAAAGCTGGAGAACTATAAAAAAATCACACTTTTGTCCCAAGAACTTTCACCTCAAACAGTTAGCACTATTGTCACTACCTAAGTAGTGGTTGAGTTGATGTATTGTTTTTTTTTTTTTGTTCTAATAAATAAATATTCATACAAAATCAATAATACCACCATCGTACCATCGTCACCAAAAGTAACTGGAAAAGTAACTGGGGACAGCATCATATTAGCTGTTGCACTATTATATGATTTAAGATGTCAGGTATTTGTCAAACTATAAATAATTTTAGGTTTATATAGGTTAACTTGGAATAGTCCAGAAGATTAACATGAATTATTTTTGTCCCAGTAACTTTTGGTAACGATGGTACCTACCTATTTAAAATCACCTTATTCTCCTAAGTAGTTCGCCCATTCCCATATTTTTATGGGCCATTCCTTGGAAAAACCGTATCTTGCACAATGCGCCGTCAAAACTAATCCAACCCACATAACGGTGAAAGAACATTCATATTCTCAGAATATTCCCTCAAAGTGCTTTTTGGAATGTTCTTTTAGGAATGTCTAATGAATATTCTTAGATTGTTTCGATTGAAATATCATTTTTGGACGTTCTATTTATGTACTAAGAATGTTGCTTATATGCACATACCTGAAAGATTGTGCTAAGAACCCACTTTATATAACATTATCTGAATATTGTCACACGAACATTATTATAATGTACCCTGAAAAATGTTCTTTCGGCTAATATCTCTATCAAGTATCAAGAATATACCTACCAAGTTGTGCTGAGAAGTTTATGTAGGTAGGTACCCATGATAAGAATATTTCCATATTGTTCACCTAATTATCTAAAGTACCTACTCAAAAATCTTAATTAAACAATTAAACAATAATGCTCTATCTAGAACCTACTAAAAATATTATAGGTATATTCTTTTCCTTTTGCTTTGTAGGACTTCCAAGAGAGGGAGCCACGCACTATTAATGATCTACATCTTGCCTCGCGTTTGAATCACCTTGGAACCTGTTTCTCTCAGTTGGTATATTCTAAGAATATTTCAAGCATATTGGTTTATTATTCTTTTGAGAACATAACTATAATGTCATAGGAACATTCTTTGAATTTAAGAATATACATTTCAAGCATATTTTTAGAATCAAACAGGAATATTCTTTTCAGAATGTACTGAGAATCTCAAAGGTATATTCTAGGAATATCCTAATGGATTTGCCAGGAACTTCTTGGGTATTGCAAACAGTATTTCTACAATCTTTTCTCAGAACATTCTCAGGATATTCGCAATGGTTTTGGCGATCATTCTAGGCACATTCCTCAAAAAAAAAGAACATTCTCAGTACATTCTAAGGATGAAATTTTGTTATGTGGGAAACTAACCCAATCTGGCTTAATTTGGTTCACTTTAGCTTAAACTGTCCACCCCGTTCAAAAGGTCTGTATCCGCCCCTGTCATATAAAGAATGAGGATGTGCATCGAATGAATAATCTAGGAGATCGAAATCTATTCAATCATAATAATATCCCGCAAAGAAATTTTTCCTTCCTGTGTCACAATGTATAAAATGCATAAAAACATCAAGACGACACCAAATTATCTTATCTTCTTACAGAAAGTCATGATTAATCTTGGCTAATTAATCTTTTTATAACCATCGATTTAAATGTTCACGCCATTGAAGCTTTAACCAAATGGTGATTAAATTACACAGAACCCATTGATATAAGTATATGGGTTTCTGGAATCAATGAACACGAACGCAAAACACACATTTGATTTCACAAGAAAACGTAATATCAGCTCTCAGTATCCACCAGTACAGATTTTCTTTTTTTACGCGCTTGTATGTTGTGCAATAAGCAACGTTAAGACAACACAAACACACACTTATTTACGGTCATTAAATCGACCTGATTCAGATGAAATCAAAAAATCGGTCAGCAACCAAAAATTATCATGTGCGATGAACTTTGATGATTAAAATTGGAATTTAAGAGAATTGATTTGCAATATCAAAAAGAAATCATGTCACATGTGGACTGATTGCCATATCATCGATCCGATAAAGTTGAAATTCCTCGATCATCTAAATGTAAAAGCCAAATGACACACCTCCAAGGTCGCCTTGTTTAATGAAAAAAAAGAGGGTGCGATGATTATATGACGTTTTAAAGATCATCGGCATTTTTTCATGTCCAGTGATTGTTTTTACTTGTAACTAATGAGACATTCTACTTAATTGGTTGAAAACTCTTGAAATATTCAGTAAATATTCTTCTATATGTATAAAAGAGAAATTATTATTATCTCCTCGAGCAAACAATACATTACCAAAGTCTTGTCAAATTCGTGAGGAAATTGAAATTACATTAACAACTAGCATCTTCCTCATTATAGCTTTGGCCACCACACCTTACAAAAAAGTTCACCTGATATTATACAATAGACTCGAGGAATCTACTTTCACCTTTCGGACTGTGTTTACAAATCGATTTTCGAAGATTTTTCGACGTTGCGTCATTATTATTATACTTTATAAAGATTCGTTCGACTTATAAATAATGGCCCATGAACTAGATTATTCTTAAAAAATACCACTTGCAAAGTCGAGTTCTTTCATCCCTCTCAGGTTAGTGATTATTTCCTAATAGGTGTTTAATTTTGTTTCAGACGGGAATTTGTCGATGGCTGTTCCTACTAATATCACTATCAACATGGATAAAAGTTACAGGTGAGTCTTTCATTATTGGACAAGAAAAATCTATAGTCTTTGGCTAAATCTAAAAATCTTTTCGTTACTAGATTCAAAAGAAATGAGGATAGTCTGCTACTATACAAACTGGTCAGTATACAGACCCGGACAAGCAAAATTTAGCCCGCAAAATATCAACCCTTACTTGTGTACGCATTTAATTTATGCATTTGGAGGCTTTACCAAAGAAAATACCCTTAAGCCTTTCGACAAATACCAGGATATAGAAAAAGGTAAGGATCATCAATAACCCATACATTTCTATATCAATTAAGATAGTTCTAAACATCATCATATCATATTATTAAATGTATAAGTAATTGCGCCTATTAGTTAACAGTTGTTATAGTAACAAAAAGTACAACTAAACAACCATTGTTGCTTCTTTACATAAAATTGCTATTATTTTATTTCGACCTTCGGTGTTATTATTAAAGATTATCCCATTGCTCAACTAAGAAATACACTCCCTGGAATTCAAAACGGTGTTGTCTTGCATTTCTCAATACTTTTCGATTAATTTTGCGAATCATCTTCATCAAATGCAAATCAAAACAAAGAAAAACCTTATTTTCCAATAGAAAAAATAAATTCTCACTTCCTTCTGTAAGAATTTATGCATTTGGTGTATGTTTTATTTATGAACCGTTTTTTTATGCTGTTGACATTGAATAAGTAGGTATATTAAAAAAAAATGGAATAAATTCTATATTTTTTTAAATGTTTACACCAGGTAAGACTGAACAATTATAAAACGAATTAGTGTTAATAAACTGGGAGTGGTTGACATGTGGAAATATTAGTCATTAAGAAAATATGTCGTTATATCAAAACTAATTTTTCATCAAGGGGTATGGACTGTAGGTGAAAATATCAACTAAATAAACTAATTATCCCCAGAAGATATATTTGGAATTACTTAAGTATACCTATAGGTTTCATGAGCCTTTAATATACAATGAGAAGTTGTCATTATAATTTTCACTTTATATTTTCCAAAATTCAAATTATATTTCCAATTGTTAATTTACAGTTTCCAAATTTCAAGGTTCAATTCCAAAATTAAAGTTATACTCTTCAAAAATAAAATAGGTAGCTGTTTAAAATTACGAATTATAATGTTTAAATTACAAGTGGAATTCTTGTAGTTCCTAGGTGGGTACTTGTTTAAAATAAAAAGGTAATTTCCGAATAATGTCGAAGATTTTCAAACTCGTTAAGCCTCGTGGTGAAGCAGAAAAAGAAACACTACAGTCTACCTCCGGCCGAACAGCAAGAACGGAGACAGACTGGTCATTATGCTTCATATGTCAAAAAATAACGCAAAGAGTCGCTAACATGTCCATCCAGGAACACACGTCTAGACAAGGGGAGCAATGCTAGCAGCTACAGCCTACAGCAGACTTGAAGGCCATCTGAAAAGGTTTAATCACCTTGCGCTTCTCCCAAAATCTTGTCGTTTTAGACGACTAGACGAAGGCAGTGGGGTTGAAGCAGCATTGATTGCAAACAATGCACAAAACCAGCACGGTGAGGTATAACAAAACCAAGCTAGATCGAGCTGAGAAGAGGCACCTATAAATAGGCAAAGATAATGAAGTGAAGGAACCTGGTGATCGCAAGCCAAAACTAAGTCTGTCACCATCATCAGGTAATGAGCAAAAACAGCGAGAAGTAAAATGCTTCTTCTGCGGAAAAACTGCTGATAATGCCCCTCTTCATGAAGCTGTGACATTCCAACTAGAGTCACGTGTCAGGTCATGCGCAATGATTCTGGGCGATATGGACCTCCAGACAAAACTGAACGCTGGAGACATGGTTTCACAGGATGCGAAGTACCACCGAAATTGTCTCGTGAAGTTGTACAATCGCCTTCGGAAGTTTAGGGAAATTTCTAGCAAAAGCTCAAATGAGGAACAAGCAATAGAAGGACTTGCCTTTGCACAATTGGTCTTGTTTATCGAAGAATCTTTCGCGAAAGGCGAGACGGCTCCGGTCTTTAAACTTGCAGACCTGGCGCAGTTATATGCATCGCGAATGGAACAGATGTTGGGAGTCAAGTATATGATCGCAGAGTGCACACGACAGGCCTGCTTGCTCAATTTCCTAACGTGTGCACAGTATCAGAAACGTCATGTCCAGCTTGCATTTTCTGAAGACCTCGGCGATGCCTTGGCAAAGGCTTGTGAACTGGATACAGATTCTGATGCAGTCCATCTGGCGCGTGCTGCCCAAATTGTGCGACGCCACATCATCGGAGATGACAAGTTGTTTAACAGATTTCCTCCAGAATGTCAACAGGACTTCGTACCATCCGCGCTGCTCACCCTAGTCACTATGGTCTTGGAAGGACCAAGTATCAAAGACCTTAGAGAAGCACTACACAAGCGGCACTGTCTATCAGCCAGCTCCTCAAATTCAATAGTTTGAAGAACCGAAGAGCTGACAAAGGCAGTAGGCCTCGAACAGTTCGGCACGCCACCGCGCAAGAGACACCACTTCTCATTCATATTGGGCTCATGCTACATGCACACACTCGTAATAGGGAGCTAATCGACAAGCTGACACACATGGGAATTTCTATAACCTACGATCGAGTCCTGTCCCTCTGCGCACAGTTTGCGAACAGTGTCTGTCGCCTCTACTACCAAAAGCAAGTAGTCTGCCCTCCCAAGATGAGAGGCATGGTCTTCACCACAGCCGCGGTAGACAAACTAGACCATAATCCAAGTTCCACGACCTCAAAACAGTCATTTCATGGCACCGCTATTTCGCTGGTGCAACATCCTGCGTTGCATGGCAGTTGACCGGTTGCCACAATACTTTACAGATGTCCCATCCGTCAACAGCAGCATCAAAGACACACAGGTACCGGTTATCAACGTGGCATCAACAACGGCCTCAAGCAACACATTGAAACAGGGTATCTCTGGCTACAACACACTCAACTAGTGATACAAGAACGTTCTCCATTAGAAAACACTTCATGGGCTGCATATCACGCGAGTCTGCAGACCAGAACCGCCAGTCGGGCAATCTGCCCAACCGCTTTACTCCCACGCTTCCTCGAGAGTACCCATACCGTCGCTATGATCAATCATTCCATGGATGTCGTCAGAAACTCAGTGGAACATCTTAACCCAGGCTAGATTCTAGTAGTCACATTCGACCAGCCGCTTTTTGCACTAGCAAAGCAAATCCAGTGGAACTGGCCACAGGGTTACGATGAAGAGAAGTTCGTCATCCTCTACGGAGGACTTCATATCGAGATGGCAGCGCTGAAGACAATCGGTGACTTGTTGCAAGGCAGCGGATGGGTGCAAGCACTGACCGAGGCCGAGATCACCAGTGTCGGGACTCCGGATTGTCTCCTGCGGGCATCACATTTCACTCGAACCAGGAGAGCTCATCAAGTGACAGTAGCAGCCCTCTTCACGCTGCAACAGAACGCCTAAAACCGCTGCATGGCCCAGTCAGGTGACGCCGGCACCGAGCAGCTGGAGTTTGCTGATTAGTGCCAGCAAAGGGCGAAGACTTGCCCCCAGTTTTACTACTGGGCGACTGTACTGGAATTGGAGGTGACGATCTTGGTGTACGTGCGCTCCCTACGCCAAGCGTCGTTTGCGATGTACGTCGATGCCTTCAAAGAACCAGCAGTGTGGTTCCATGCCCTGGATCACACCAACTACGCGCGCTGGATTCCTGTGCATTTGCGAGACATGGTGGAACTGCCAATGACACACCCTCAAATAGCCGATGAATTCCAAGCACGGAATTTCACCGTCCAGAAAACGACTAGGCCGTTCTCTGCCATCGCCGTTGATCAGGCCCACGAGCAAAAAAATGCAGCCATTAAAGGAGACGGAGGTGCAGTAGGTCTCACTGGCAATCTCAGCGCACTGCGACGGTGGATGGTAACAGGACCAGAGGTTGCTAGGCTCATTGAAGAGTTCCAGGATTCTAACACAGACCGGTCACAAGACACAAAGCATCATGGCCAGTCATCAAGTGTGCAGATTGCTTTCCAAAAAGACGTACAGTCAATGAGATGGAAGGCTTTGGGAATCCATTTGGAGAGGATAGCCAAGATCTGTTGGTACTTGACACAAAAGGAGATCGCGCCACCTCTAACTGTGGAAAACCTTTGTCGTGCATATAAACTAGCACAGGCGCAGTTTGAGAACTTCGTCAGAGAACGCCTGGTGGAAAAAAAAAACATACAAGAGCCCATCAAAAGAAACAAGATCAAAATATTCGGTCAGCCTACCACAAAACCTCATGCAAAGGACAAGCAGGAAATGAAATCCCTCAAGGACGGCGTGAATCTCTTCTCTCGTTTGTATATCAGATGCCAAAACCGAGATGGGAATCTAGACGAATTCTTTAAGCATGAAAACCAAGCTTTCCCTCCAGCACTATCGAACGGCGGTAGCATCCGGTTTGGTGTAAAGAGTGATCTTCTTAGTTGTCTTGAAGATTGCAGTTAGCCTAGGTCTGAAATTCCTCCAACAAGCTGTATTTTCCTAAATGGAGCCGTTATCATCCAATTTCTGAAGCCTGCTACGGCAAAAACCTTCAACAAATATACCCAGCAAGTTTTTGTGCCTCGCATACTCGCAAAATTTCGTGAAGCCGCGCGAGTGTGGGATCGCTTCATTACAAACTCCTTAAAAACTACAGCAAGAGCCAAGCGGGGAAAAGGGGTGAGAAGACTAGTTGTAGGTGGTTCAAATATACCCGGGAACTGGGCCAGCTTCCTCAGAGTTGACGAGAACAAGACAGAGCTGCTCATCTTCCTCTCTGATTACCTCTACGACTCATTCCAGCTTGCAGACAAGGAGCTGCTCATCACTAAAGGAGACGATGTCTTGAGTAAGCCATCGTCTCCTTCTTGATACTTCAGCACTGATTCCTTGCAACCACGAGGAGGCCGACACCCGCATTATGTTGCTGCTCACAATGGCCACAAGAAGATCCACATCAGCACAGTTGACACTGATGTTATTGTCCTGGCAGTGGCTCTGGCACGCACCTTGAATGAGGAAACTGAAATATGGGTGTTCTTCGGCTCGGGAAAGACGTTCCGCTTCTTGGCAGCCCATGAGATTGCTCGGGCTCTAGGTCCTGAAAAAGCTCAGGAAGTACCGATGTTTCATGCTCTGACGGGCTGCGACACGGTCTCCTGCTTCGCCGGACGTGGAAAGAGGACAGCATGGCCAGTGTGGACAGTGCTACCTGAACTAACCTAGATACTTTCACTTCTCTCCACTGCATCAGATCGTATTAAGGAAGACGCCATGCACACCATTGAAAGGTTCATCATACTGCCTTATGACAGAACGAGCACAGACACCGATATCGACAAGGCGCGTCGCAAACTGTTTGCAACTAAAAGCAACGTCCAGCTGATCCCACCGACAAGGGCAGCCCTGAAACAGCACGTCTGAAGAGCGGTATACCAGGATGTTGTACTCAAGTTTGTAATTTTTCCTTAATTTCTCTGGAAGTAATGCTAGAGATGCTACTGGTGCGGCTGCACGAATTTCCGGAGGGGTGCATGGAATTTTGTTTTCACTATCGGAATGCATGAGAAACACGCGTTAACACAATTTAAGCGCAACTGAAAACTGCAAACGTCTAATATACTTATTTTGTCAAAATCAAATATTTTAGTTGCCCTAGTAACAACAATCCAAACTACACCATTTCCAAATCCAAGCGGCAGTAAATGTCATTAAATAACCTAAATTGTAAACAAACACCATCCTTCCTATTGGTTGAAGCGCCCTACCTGGACCAGTGCGCATGCACGGAGGACATTTGATAGTTGTAATGAAAATGACCAGTTTGTCATTTACTGCCGCTTGGATTTGGTTGAACCAAGCTCGATTCTATTTTGGAACGCTGTCAATGCTGTCATTTGTGGCTGTCATGTTATGGAATACGTATAAAAATGTATCTGGGACATAAATAATGCATAATAATCTCCTGGACTAATTCTACTGTCATTCATTTCAATACAATTCATTCATAGTTTGACAAATATTTGACAATAAAATTCATATAATAGGACAAGAGCTAATGTGATGCTGTCCGAGTTACTTTTGGTGACGATGGTACAGTGGGAATCATTGCAATTGGCACACACTATATAAATATCCCTCGTAATGTGTCAAATCTGACACACAGTAATAGCAAAATGCTGCACTAAATAGATTTATTGGTTAGAATTTTGACTTAATACAAGGGATTTTAAAAAGTGTGTGCCAATTGCAATGATTCCCACTGTACCTATATTCCATGGGTGTGGAATATGAGATTCATATTCCACAGATGTGTAATATGAGTTATATTATGTGGTTCCTATCACAAGCAAAATGCGTCTATTATTAAAAAATAATCGTAGATAAAAGACATAAAATCGCGTATTAAAGTTCATAACCGGCACAAACGGCGTTAATACCTCTGATGATGACGGACAAAGATGCTCACCCCTGAGGCTGGATAGAAAAAGTAGGAGAAGAAGAAAAAGCACTCTGAAGACTAGGTGAAGGAGGGAGTAGGTAGGTATTTCAGATCGGTCAACTCGGTGTCGCCAGGTCTGTATTCACTAGATGTGAACCCCAGGAGTTTGAACTACAATACAGATAATATTATTATGGTGATAACAGTGGTTAAAAAAAAACGAAAATAATATGAAGATTTTGGAAACGAAGAAAACTATTGGGTGTGCACAAATGCCAAAATTAAGGGACCCAGATCTAACAGAAGAAAACCGAAGATTAGAACAATAGAAGCAGCATTGCAATATATTAAAGAATGCTGAAGAAAAAAATGAGATTGTTGTTGCAACTTTACTCGATTTCAAAAGAGCACTGTTTTTAATTAAAAAAAGTTCTTCGACACACAAGGAAGTAAGCCGTGTCCTCTACAGCCTATAATTTGACATATAAATAATTGACTTGAATTTCTAATAAAATTAGTTTTAGAAGTATTAATTTAAATTATACTGAGCTTAAAATAGAAGTACAAGGATTACATACAGAAAAACGCTGATAAATCAAAATATTTATCAATTGTTTCGGTTCCAACATTTTCCACTACCTACATCAAAAGTAGGTACTCAATAATATTAATTAGAAGTTTGCTGATTCATTGGAATGTGAAGGGTACAAAATAATTTCCAAGATATTGAAAAACATTAAACTACTAAAGTACCCACGCATGTAATTTTTCCTCTCAAAGACGTATATCAGTATAATCATTTGCATTTTTATTTAGAAAATTGAGAATGATTAAAATTCTTATCATCTAGAAGATTACTTACCTACATTGCTCAAAGTTTTGAACATGTTACCTAAGCATAAAACAACTTTGAAAAATAACCTAGGTATATTTGAATACTTCTCTAAATTCTCCAGTACAGTCTATTCTGAGTGCAATTTTGGCGGATAAACTAACCCTGTCCTGCGCTGTTGCTGATACAACCAGATGACATCGTCTTTATCAGAGGTGGCATAATGGCTGGAGATCCGCTACGTAAACTGGAGGTATAGCTTCATCTTCATCTGCTGGTGGGTCTACCAAAAATTAGAAATATCGAGGTATCATGGACAGCATCAATGGTGTTCAAGCTAGTTGACTCGTGATAATGGATTCTATAGGACAGAAGAAGAAGAGGCAGCAGTTCATCTCAAATTCACTGATGCTCATCCACAGACCACCAGCAGGGCCCCTCGACCATTCCGTCGGTCGTTGGATGAAGTGAAGTCGTTCTATAATCTTCCCTATTTCCGTTTTCTCTTTAATTTTTGGGTTCAGCGCAAATTTTCTCCATGTCCTTTTCCAGTTTTCTTTGATTCTTCTCGTTTTCGCCTCTAACTTGTGGAATATTCTGGAATAATCCGGCGATGCTTTTAATAGCTTGACGTCTGTGTCTCCATTCTGCCTCTTTATCTTTCAGTCGCTTGTTTTCTTGTTCTTGGGAAATTTCCTAAAGCAGGTCCTGTTCTTTCTGTTTTTGTTTCTGTCGTCTACGATGTCTTCTGCCTCCTGTTTTTCTTCAACTTTTTTCTCGTACATTCGCGAATTTTCTAGTCATCAGGCAGTGCTGTGTGATTGTGCAAAATTTTTCCAAATTGAGAAATCTATAACAATAATATGACGAAGAAATTTCCATACTTATAATAAAAAATAAATATAACATGTCAACAACGTAGGTATATTATTATAAAAATTCTTAGAAATAATACCTATCTATCTATAATGAAAACCACTAAGAAAACCGAATAGGAATAGATGGGTGATATTTACTATCAAATCACAATACTAAATCTTAACACAAAATTGAATTGAAATTCTGAACGGTTAAAATAGTTATTTATTAGATTCGTAAGTTACCTTTGTCATATAATAATTCTAGCTAATATTTCCAGGTGGTTATGCCAAATTCATCGGACTGAAAACCTACAATAAAAACTTGAAAACCCTCATAGCTATTGGTGGCTGGAACGAAGGTTCTTCCAGATTTTCACCGATGGTAGCCAGCGCTGATCGCAGAAAACAACTAGTCAAAAATGCCATAAAGTTTTTGAGACAGAACCACTTCGACGGTCTGGATTTGGACTGGGAATATCCAACGTTTAGGGATGGCGGAAAATCTAGAGATAGGGATAATTATGCTCAACTAGTGAAGGTAAGGAATGGCTTTTTATTCAATTGAAAAATGGTCAAAGTGGTACAAAACAATAATTCAAACTGCGGAGCATGAATTTATTCAAAACTCTGCCTACTTCTGGATGGCGTGCCATCTTATCCGGTCACGGAATATATAAATAAATACAGTTCAATCTCCCACAAAAAATAGGCATACCAACTGCGAATAATGTTGATAAAAATTATTGTTATGTGTATATTTTGATAGCTTGCCGAATAATAATAAAATGACGTTATGAAACTAGTAGTTCTATTGTTCCGCATATTATGGTGTTAATGATGACTTTGAATGCACCACCTGGCTAACTTGAAAGAATAGATGAGATTTTTCTTCTGATTTCTTCAAAGATATTACAATAATTTACCTTTCATTTTACAACACCTGTGTTGTAAATACATACACACATAAACAAATCTTCAATTTCTTATCTAGATTGCATTTACTTTTGCGATTGTCTTCCTCAAACATAAATTTTCTGATTGCAGGAACTACGTGAAGAATTTGAAAGGGAATCTGAGAAGACCGGGAGACCTAGATTGTTACTAACGATGGCTGTACCTGCTGGTATCGAATACATAAACAAAGGCTACGACGTACCCAAACTGACCAAGTGAGTTTTCTCTTTATAGCACCGTTTATGGAAAATTTGCAATTTCTACATTCATCCTTTGGCTGCTTATAGAGGAATTTTACAATTATTTTTCTACATTTTAGATACTTAGACTGGATGAACATTCTTAGCTACGATTACCATTCAGCCTTCGAACCTGCAGTGAATCATCACGCACCACTTTACGCGTTGGAAGAGGAGAATGAATACAATTACGATACGGAACTTAACATCGTAAGTGGTTTAATTTGCAATTAATATTTTATGGTAGCAATTGAACTACCATAATTTGCAATCGATGTTTGCGGTGTCATTGTTTTACGGTACAACCAAAACTGTTAGGATCTATTTATAAGCGCTCATTCATTGTTCAGCTTAATAATAATTATTGAATTTTGTTTTAAGGCTGTCATTTTAAATCATTTATTTATGACATCATTGTATACAGTTAGATTTTATTTATGTATTTAGGAAAAAAAAGTTGTGATGCCAATACAAATAGAAAGTTTAAAAGAGTCCCAAACTAAGCAAGCTGATAAATCTTTGACAATATTCACTTTTTCAAAACTTTTGTTTCAAGTAGGTATCATCCTTTTGCTGCAAAATCCAAGTTTATATCTATTTTGAAGTTAGCTTCAATTTACTAACTCAAACTCTGATGGCGGGAATGGGACGTAATATAACACGGTTTTTCGCAGTAGCTTCTATACTCTAGGGTCTTACCTAGCATCGCATCTTTGTTAGATGCTGATCTACTAGCAGACATTTGATTATTGATGAAATCAATGTTTTCACACTTAACGCATAACATTGACATAACATCGTCATCTTAGGCTGGTGATAATGATCCCTCAATACCGAGTATGATTATCTTTTATTCTATGCTCAATGTCGTCGATTTTGAGTTTTCTGATGACTATATAACCAATTCTGGAGCCGCACAATTTTCCACATTCTTGGCACACCCATTGTCTTTTTCTCTGTTCTCGCGCTCCTTTCTGCGGTGCCTCTTTTCGGTGTCACGGCTGCGTCTTCAAAAGTTTGTGGACTACTCGACGCCATGAAGACCTATAATTTGCCGTCGTCGTTTGTAGCATTTTTGTTGACCTCCTTGATTCCGTTTTCCCTCTTTCAGTTGACTGTAGAGAATCTGTCGTGGAAGACGTGTTTCGAGCATGCTTTAGTGCTTGATGATGAGGGCTTCCGTGGTAGTTGTTTTGGCCTTCTCTAAAACAAGGATGTTGGTTCATCGTTCTTGCCATTTAATCCCTAGGACCCTTCTTAGGCATGGCTGGTGGTATTTTTCTAGGCATTTTATATGTCGCTTCTGTAGGTAGTCCATGTTTTACATCATATGTGAGTGTTGGTATTACAACTTCATTGTAGACGCGTTTGGTCTCAGCAGTCAGCGCTGATGTGATTGTTGAAGATTCTCTAGAAATCGCCCGAATCTCGCGCTACCATACTTCAACCGATATTTTATTTCAGCGTCAATGCTTGCATTTTGCTGACAGATGGCTCTCAAGGTATGGGTGGTGCTTTACGTTCTGCAAAGAATGGCAATTATTAGTTATATTTGGGGTTTGAGGATTAATGGCCGGTGCAGGTTAGTGCAGAATCTGCGTCTTGTTCAAGTTGACCTCTAGACCGATTCTCCTATATGCCTAGTTGAATGCATTGATAATTGCCTGAAGATCTTCCTCTGCATTGGCCATCACGACGTTATCATCCGCACATTGAATTTTAATTATCGAAGTCGTCGATACTTTCGTCTTGGGCTCGTAATATATTTAGGTTGAAATATCCGCCATCAATTCTGTAGAGAATTTCCACTCGTGATGACAAGGTGAAGTATGAATCCTATAAATAGAGAAAATAAAGTGGGTGCAATAACACAGCCCTGTTTAACGCCTGTATCTATTTGAAAAGACTAGCGTTGTCCATCGTTGCTTAGGACAGTAGGGATGTTCACTATTTTTCAATTGTAATAAAAAGTGGTGGTTTTAGGTCCATAAAACACGTATCAAGCGTTAAAACATCTAGAAACCCTTTATTTTTTCTGATAAATCGAAAACAAAAAAACGAAATTAGCGAGGCTAGCGGAGCGAAAAATCAGCTGGCGCGTTGGCGAGATTTGTTTACAGTTTACTTTGGATTTATTGTGTTGCTGACTGTTGCTTTATCCCAAGAAGCTTCATTCACTCTTATTATCTGTGTTTGTGTAATGATGGGAGACTCAAACAAAGTTGAACCGAGTCGAAAAGAGTGGTATCTACGTGCGTGTTTTTCTACGAGGTGCGAAAATGTGCTACTTTCCGCACGCAAATCGTTGCGTGAAGACGCGTTTTTCACACGCTCATAGAAAAAATGGGCCTGACACGAGCATAAAGTATGTTTTCCGCACTTGCGGCTCGCACGAATTCTGCTGGCTCGTCGTTCGTGCAAATGCCGTTGCGTGCGGGAAAGTATAACTTTCCGCCCTTGTTACAGGTAAATAACTATATATCATTGTTCAAATGCAACTATACCTACATCTAATAACGTCTGTTTTACTTCTACACCAATGGACTGGAGCTGATTCAAGTCGACACTTGACCAAACATTCTGATACCATAATAGTAGATAACGAAATAAACAGAAAATAGTAGATAACGTCCACAGTTGGCAGATTATGTGAATCGGCCTTTTGAAAACGTTCCTTCATTTTGGCCATAGTACCTTTTCTACCTTAATTTCGATAAACCCCATAACACAGCAATATCAAAATACTTGTTAAACGTTAAACAGACTCTCTCGTTAAATTAAAACCAAACCATAATAATAATAACAATAATATTAATATCAATATTCTTTATTGCCAACAAAAATCGTAAAAGCAACGTCACAAGAGGCTGATCCAACTAGCTAGTAACGCCATTGTACTTGCGCGTGCTAACTCATTACGCATTGTGACATCAGACAGCGTTTCGTGTGTTTAAACGAATATCAATATTTCGTCTCCGTTTTTCTCATAGAAAGAATTTTCTGATTTTCGTGAAATTTTGTAGATTTACTTATGAAACAATGCTTAATGATTTGATGATGGTTAAACGGATTTTTTTTATTTTGTGAACATTCATGTTGCATATATCTTCCAAAGAGCCTGTCTCTTGACCGAATCAAATTCTTTCACTGAATCTATGAAGGCCATGTATGAAGGGCGATTCTTTCTCTGGATTTCTCTTGCATTTTTCTTACACTGAAAATCATGTCAGCTGTACCTCGGTTGGATCTAAAGCCACACTGTGTCTCTAGGAGGTTCTCTTTGGAAGTTGGGACTAGACAATTTGATAATATCCTGGCAAGTCTCTTTCCCGTAACAAAAAAGTAAAGATATTCCTCTGTAGTTTCCACATTGAGCCTTATCTCCCTTTTTAAAAAATGCAATTATGGAGTCATCTCTCAATTCGGCAGGTATGGTCTCGGTCATCCATATTTTCTTATTAGAATGTGGACTTGGGCACTTAGTGTGGGGCTTCCTTGTTTGGAGAATACAGCAGGAATGTTGTCAGTACTTAGTCTGATGTGGTGCCACATTTCATAAAATTGGTCTTGTCACTCAACCCAGCTGCTAGTGACCTATTCCTCATTTAGATTGAAGTATTAATAGCTCCTGCCCAGAATTATTTGCCAAGTCGAGCATCAAAGATCAAACATCGAGCTTTCACAACTAATGTTCTGTTCATGCGCTCTGACATACCATTCTGTTCAGGAGTATAGCTGTTGGTTTTCTGGTGTATAATCCCATATTTTCTAAAAATATCTTGAAATTTTTTAGAGGAATACTCTTTTTTTATAGGAATACTCTTCACCATTATCAGTTCTGAAATGCTTGATTTTATTCGATATTTGGTTTGCAACTAAATTTTTAAACCCCAAAAATTTTTCAAACACCTCATCCTTGGACCGAAGAAAGTAAACAAATGTCATTCTTGTGCCATCATCTTCGAATAATAAAGCAAAATATTTTGAACCTCCTATGGAAACCGTCTCCATGGGTCCACACAAGTCAGCATGTATGACTTCTACTTTTTTGGCTCTGGTGCCTTCTTTGGGGAATGGCAACCTATGTTGCTTCCCTGCACAACAAATTTGTTCTTGTTGCACCCATCCACAGCCTTCTTCATTTTATTGAGATCCGCATAGTTGATGTGGCCAAACCTTCTATAGCAAGTTTCTCCAGAAGTAAGCGGACAACGAGCACTCTTATCAACATAGCCTGTATACCGAGCTGTGAACATTCTTAGGGTCGGTTTCTCAATAGCGAGTCACGTCCGGGTTGGTTTTAACTCGTTTTAACTCCCAGGGTGAACGTGTCAAGTTGCAATGTTCGCCCTGGAGTTGCGCTTAACCTGGGGGTGACTCGCTATTGAGAAACCTGCCCCGAACCAAATCAGCTGTTGCTATCAACTGTCCTTGACTGTTGTAAACTTGGCAGCCCTGTGTGTCAAATTCAACTGTCACCGTGGTCGTTTTTGTCATCTTTTTCGTCAATATGCTCCAAAAATGATGACAATAACGAACACGACCTTTATTGCCATTTTTGATTCTTGAGCAACTGACAGCAAATTCGTTGCAAGCTCGGCACACAAACCACATTTTTGACAGAAATCTCAAAGATCCCATTTACACACCTCGTTTTCAGACTTACAACATCACCCATGCACTTGACTGGTACTTTCGTATCATTAACGACTACTATTTCCTACAACTCACAGTTTGTAGAAATATTTTCCACCCATTCATTATTTACACAAGGATGTACGCTTGCCCCCGAGTCTATATACACACCAGCTTGTCTTCAGAACTGCCCACTCGATAGGCATAATCATAGGGGAATAATTTTCAGTTTCAGCAAACCAGCTATCAATAAAGAGCCTATTCAAACATCAAACCCTGTAAATTTCAATCTCTGTGACGTTTCAACCAACCTTATTAACTAATCACTCATAGATTCACAGTTTTCCATCTTGGTAGATATTAGAGATCTTAACAAATACATTTTTCTTGTTTGACCTGTCAGAAAACATATACTTTTTAATTTATCCCATAACTTCTTGAGTGTTGACTCATCTCAAATATGTGAAAACTGAATCTATCCTGAGAACGATTCTGGCCTTCGCCTTTGCATACTTGTCGGCATCACTTTCCGTGCTTTCAACGCAGCCCCAAAGACCATCCAATATGAGAACATTCTGTACACCGTATGCCCATTCTTCATAATTTTCGCGGCTTTTTAACTTACACTAACTTGAAAGTTGACTGCCATGTCTCTAAACCTTCGCTTTTCGATTCCACACAGACTAAAAGGAAAAACTACGCAAAAAAACCGTGAAAAAACAGCAAGAAATACTGGTCTCATAACCTTATAAAAACAATAACGTGAATCGTTAGAAACTCAGGACAACTGACGTTTATTGGAAAGATAACAAAAGAAGGTTAAAATACACCAGTGTTGCCAATAATAATAACAGGGAGTACCTATCATAAATGACGTAAACACGACAATTTTAAGAACACTTCAACATCGCTTTTCCAGACATTATGCGCTTTTCTTTATCTTTCTGTAAGGTCTTGAATTCCAGTGTCGTTCTCATCAAACCAGTCTGGATGTTCTTTTTTGTATGTAGCCGAGCGTTTCTTCCGAGGCAGATGTTATTGCAGTCTTCAATATTTTCTAGTGCTCTTCAATGCTTTCCGAGTACTCTAAGGGAAGTTTCTTGCTTAGAGAGGCTTGGAGCTTTGTCCTGATATGATCGTCTTGAAGGTTTCCATGTTTGGTGGGATGCGCAAGTTCATTTTGGCTCGTATCAGCCGATGGTCAGTCCAGCAGTCATCCGCACTTGTTAAAGCTCTCGTAATGCATACATCATTTCTGTTTCTAGAACGTACAGGAAGTCTTCAATTAATTTTTTTGTCGAAAAAGTGTAAGCGAACTCCGTTCGAGTTCATTTTTCTTGGTACAGATGATATAGCTTAGTTAGGCATAAAATTCCTCTTTTTGTCAGTTTTCAGGGTTGGAGCGTAGGCGCTGATTAGCGTAGCTTGTTGATTGTTGCTGAGGTTTAACCGCTTCTTTACATACTTACCATACTTGTCGACGTTCTCCTTCTAAACTGATTTCAGGAGGTTGCTTTATCCAGCTCTTAAAAAAAAAGAATACTTTCTTCCAATCACTGACGAATATTCTAGATTTTTTTTGTGCTTTTCCGCGCGCTGGGTTTTCATCAAAAACTCTCATAGATCTATTTAGTTTTTTTGAAATGACAGCTCATGTCCATGTAAAGAATCATTTGACTTTGTAGATTCTCGAAGTCCAAAAAAATGGCTTATTCTGCATTGGTCTCTGTTCACCCAGAGGTTCTCGTCAATTTTTCTTTGTCTAGTGTATTGCTATTACTCCATTCTTTCCAACTCTGCCCTCTTTTCCTTCTTCCCTGTGTTGTTCGAATCAGAAATCTCTTTGGTTTCCTTCAATTTGGATATCTTCTATACATTGTGTTAAACGCCCATAATTTCTTGTTTTCTCTCATTTCGGACTCTGTCCAAGTACAATTTTCCGGCAGCCAGAAATCCAGTTCTGTGGCTTCAAGTAGGTATCTTCATGAGTAACAAAACTTTTAACGATGTTTTTATGAATTCTGTGTTTGTTACCTTTGCATTTTGTTTTGTCTCAAAGTATGCTGTTGAGTTGTCTAATTACCTGCCTTTCTTGGTTATTCCGGTTACTTATTTCTCTGGATAGGCTTCCATCTCGTCATTTTGTTCGTTCGTTATTGCATGCAAAAATATTTGCATTTTTAACAGTAGTTTATTTTTTGTTGTTATTACTCCAAGTCAAAATTTTATTGTTCTCCAGATATACACATGTGTTCCAGTTTTTTAAAGTTCACATACCTCACTTAGGTATGGTATTCTTAGATTATTGGGGCAGAACTATTTGATCGGCTGCAAAGCACAGTGTGAATACCTTCCTAATATAATTTACTGGCATACCTCTATTTTGCAACATCTTTTCAATGTGTCAATATAGCAAGAATCCTTACTTGAGGCCTCTGCTGATAGGTAGTAAATCCTTCAATAGCTTCTTCCCCTTTCTTTATTTTGCTCGTGTTGTTCCCTTAAAGCTCTTCAACGTCCTTTCCCTTAATTAACTTAACGCATTTTTTGTTTGTTTGGAGATTAACTTAGAGGAGATCCATATTTGATTTTGTGTATTTTTTTTCACTGGGTTATCGTAAACAGATGGTCAATTGTGGATCTGCCCACTCTGTAGCCCGCCTGTTCTTTGGTCTTTCAGAAATCATCCTCAATCTTCTTCTTTATAAGTATTCCATAGACTCTGTGCACAGGACGGCATTTCCTCGATAATTATCGTTAATGTCTTTAGTCTTTACTCTCCTTTTTCTGGATAGTTCTAATATATGACGTTTTCCATCCTACAGATATAGTTTGTGTCCATTAATTCATTTTTGGTCGAAGCTAGCTAACTGAATAGTATAATTTCCGTTTTTATTTTTTAGTGCTCTACATGCTAGTTCAACTACGGAGAGTGGAGATGTTATGGCACGTTTTCTGGTTTTTAGTGGCTCTCGGTATTCTGCTCTTTCTTCAGCGGTTTTGCGAAATCCTCGTTCTATTTATCCAAAGGTCATGGGTGAGATGATATATGATATTTCTTGTATTTTTCTGGCGAAGGAATCTTAATATCCCCCATCTCGTAATATCCTAGGACTTCTTCTGCGACAATTTTTCTAGTCGATTTCTGTATATTCCTTTTATGCTTTCATGGTTGAAGCTATCTTGGTACTTGATTTCAGTAAGTAGTTCTTTTTTATTGTTCTTCTATGTCCTATATTCTCTTCGCTGGTGCAAAAGGGTCGTACTTTCTCTGAGCCCCTTCTACATGTGGCTGCCCTATACAACTTGAATTTCAAGTTTTGTACTTGTTGGGCTTTTCATAGTCTAGATTTATGTCAGACCTCTTGGATTTTGTACCCAGATACTTATGTACTCACTGTGTTGAAAAAAGTCATTCAAGATTGCCTTGGTCGCATATATTGATCAATATATTGCCGATGTCTTCTCCGAATTGGCCTACTATTTCATGTCCAATTTCTTTACCAATTCTAGCATTTATGTGTCCTAGTATCAGTAATTATCTTAAAAATATTGAGTTCCGCAATTATCTACAGATTTTTCACTTAGAGCATGAATAGTTTTCAATAATGTCTAGATTCGCAATTTTTCAAAATATTTAAATTAGTTTCATACAATCTAGTGGCGCCCTCTTTAAACTTTACCATTCCAAGCTAAGAACCTCTGAGCATTGCTAGGTAGACTATGAACGTTTTGCTATTTCGATATAAGAAAAACCGTTGAACTCACACAAACTTAATTTTTCAGGATTACACCATAAAACATTACCTCAAATTGGGAGCAGATCCTAGCAAACTAGTTTTGGGTATTCCAACATATGGCAGATCTTATACTCTGTTCAACCCAGACGCCTACGAAATTGGATCACCGGCTGATGGCCCTGGAGATATGGGAGACGCTACTAGAGAGAATGGATATCTGGCCTATTATGAGGTAAATTTTGCAATAATAACAGTCAATGGTTTCAAAATAATGTAATTATGCTTTGCATCCTCTGAATATATTTGAATAAAACTTTTAAAATTTATTCATTTAATCTTTTCATTTCTCTTTTTCGTATATCTTGTTATACATCAAAGATTTGTATTGACAGACAGAAGGGAGATACTTGCTATATGAGCAAACTCTAAAAGTTATAACATTAAAATTGTGTCGCCGTGTTTTAGATTTGTGAAAATGTCAAAAACCAAGAATGGGAAGTTGACGAGCCTAATTCCGAGGCAATGGGACCGATTGCCTTCAAAGACAACCAATGGGTGGGGTACGACGACGAAAATATTGTTAGGAAAAAGGCAAAATATGTGGCCGAAAATGCACTTGGTGGTATTATGTTTTGGGCCATCGACAACGACGATTTCAGAGGAAATTGTCATGGAAAGCCTTATCCATTGATTGAGGCTGGTAAAGAAGCTTTGCTGAACGCTTATGGGTGATTATTTTGATTGTAGACTTTATGAAATTTAAATTTTATCAATAAATATTTTCTTTAGGTTAACAGAAGAAAACCTTATTTCACCACCATCTAAACCTACGAAATCGTCTAAAACTAAATCTAGGACCCGGAGCAGTAAACGAACTACAACTACCACTGAAATACCAGAAGAGGAAGATGACGAAGTTGAAGTATCTTCCGCTGCTAGTCGTCGAAGAAGGTTTGTTATTTTCATCTTCAATTTCAATATAACACCATCAAGTCCTAAATTCAATTTATTTATTATTATAGTCTAGTTTAAGAATATCAACAGTCAAACATTAATAACTTTATGTTGTCTTATACCTAATGGTTATAGCCAAATGTTTAGAGTTTGGATGGAGTTTAATTTTCCATACTCACGCATTAAATTTTCTTCCAGAATCAAAACAAAGACTCAGAAGGAAGAAATCAAGAGACAAAAATCAAGAGGCAGCACTTCAACTTACAGCAGTCTAAAAGTTATCACACCAGCCTATACTACTCCAGAACCACCAGCCACACCTGATATGGGAGGATCTTTTAAATGTGAAGACGAAGGATTCTTCCCGAATCCAAAAGATTGCAAAAAATATTTCTGGTGCTTGGGAGGACCTGGGGACACTGGAATCGTGGCACATTCATTTACTTGCCCAGCAGGTAAATGACTTATTTTTTTCACCAACTATAAAATAATTGTCCATATCTTATTCTTTTAGGTTTATATTTCAATAAAGGTGCCGATTCGTGTGACTACAGCCAAAACGTACTTTGCAATAAAAAAATTCAAAAGGCTACCGCAACAACAACTGAAGCAACTTCAGAAAAACCAACTGCTAGCAGTTTGTTTTCGACTACAAGGGTGCCACCAAAAATAACTGCAGCTACTAGCAAAACTACCCTCAATTTCAGAACAACAACTACCACTGAAATTCCTGAAGACGACTTCGAGTACGTAGACGACGAAGAAGATGATGCTCAAAGCAGAAAAGAAGAATCTGAAGAAGACCCTAGAGTGATCAAAGAGCTGATAATGCTCATCCGTAAAGCTGGAGGAATTGAAGAGTTGGAGAAACAAATAACAAACACCAAAGATGTTTCGTCAGATTCTACAACTCCTTCTGCGATTAGCAAGTCGTTATATGAAAGTCTTCTGAGTAAAACTTCGAAAAATACTTTAAAGGCTTTGAGGAAAACAACTGGGAATAGAAACAGTGGAGGTCCGCAAACTAGTATTAAGGAAACTAAAACGGAAACTGTTGATAGAGGAAGGCCACAATATAAGACTTTAAATAGACAGAGGTTTGAAAAAAGTTTCAATTTCAAAATAAACTTTTTAAAAAAATATTATTTTTTTAGGTCACCAACATCTAAAACTACTGAAAATGAGGAAGAAAAAGAAGTTGAAAAGGACAAAGTAAAAGAAAATAAGTCTTTACGTACCAAATCATCATTAGAATATGTCAACATAAGACGGCCCAAAGCTAGTACAACAACTGAAGCCAGTGACGATGAGTAAGTTTAAAATTCATTGATTTATCGAAAACAAAACATTCTATTTATTGAAAAGCATATCATAAACAGCAAGCGATATTGCCAAGTCAGCATTTTCCCAAAATCTGTGTACAGGGAAAGATGGGGCTTCTCCACCATCCAAATACTTCTGTACTTTTTCCCAATTTGGATCTTTTTTAAACCAAGATCGCACGCTAAGGAATGTTGAATTTGAATTGATCACGTCTCCGTTAGGGTAGATACCGCTCCAATTGGCGAGGGGAAGGAACAACTAAGACAATTTTATTTGATTATTAAATAAATCGTTGAGAAACATAGTAGGTACTTACTGGATTATTAAAATTACTATATTGGGTAAATGTTTCAACATTGGCATAACCTTTATCAGTTTGATGGAAGCTCCATAGAGCGTCCAATAGTTTTTTAGAGACTTCCCTAGCTTGAGTGTCGCCCGAACGAGCAGCGTAATATGCTAAAGTTCTTGCTGTGCAGGAGGCACTATTAGCACCAGTTCCACGTCCCTGAAATCAAATATGAAAATTCTTTCATGGTCTCAAGTTCAAATTCCTCCACATATTCCAGATTACCTACACCCCCACAGAATTAAAAAAATGTTAAATGAGCAAAAGTGGCTTATTGAATTTAGAATATACGATGTATTACTTGAACTTACCGTTATTGTCACAACAGTGTTGGGAGGTAAACCTTCCCATTTCAAGTTTGTGGGTATAGTGAAATCTCCGTTTTCGTTGAAATGGATTTCACTGATCACCCAGGAAACCCATTTCGAGGTAATATTTTTGGCCCTTTCATTTCCTAAAAGTTGAAGTAAATCAGTTTAGGTTTACAATAAAATATTTTCCTACAACTATTGTATCATATCTGAATAGCTGACATTAAATTCTCTTCAAATACTAAATTTTTTTACTTACCGGTAATATAATAGTACTGAGCTACACGGTCAGCTGTCCATGGCTGGAACCCAAACCAGGGATTAGCATCTGCATAGCCTGGCTGATAGTCGAACCACATACCGTAGAAAGAATGATCCTGAAAAAAAAACTGACATGAAATCGATTTTTGACCACTCAACAAATTATCACCTTGTACTCTTGTGGTGGATCATCATAATTCTTATTATAACTATTCGTAACTCCAGCTGCAAAAGCTCCTTGGCTCGTCTGCAAATACTCGTAAAGCTCTAATTGTCTTTCTAAAGAATGTTGCCAATCTTCTATTGCTGTTGCACCTCTGGGCCTAAAACAATTCAATTTGACTTATTAATTTACTTCTAAACGTTAGTTTAGGTAATATTAGCTTATAAGTCTGTGTTTGTAACAGTGTCTTGAAATATAGTTTCATATATCAGGTGACACGAACATGTGTACCACAGGCTTGAATCTAAACGATATTCACCAAGGCCTTGAAAATCACATCGATCTCATTGTTAAATGGAGAATATAAATAAATGAAGACAAGATACAAGTGATCATCATTCACCGAAGGTTGGGGTTCTACATTTTCTTGAGCTTCAGTGTTTCTTTCTTAGGTATCTTGAAGCGGATGCAAGAAGTTTACTTATATATCATGATGCCCTTCACTAGCCTGCGTGTTCTGCAACTGCCGATTTGTCAGTTTGTGCCAGTTTCTTCGATATTCGTCGTCCTTAGACGACACTGGATACATGAACAGGCGATGCTTTCTGAAATTGTGAGAGCAGACCTGGAATATGGTAGACTCCATCGGGTATGGATCCTTTATCTAATCTGAGGAATTGCTGTTTCTTTCTTATCTTTCGTGTCTTCATATTGTGCTCTTTCCAGACTTCTCCGATCTTGTGCGCCAACACATTGATAAATAAGCAGATATGCGCTGGCAATCATTGATTTCTAATCTGAATCTTGACGTGAACAATATTTAGGTCTCATACCCTAGCCTTGTCAATCTCGGATGCACTGTATCCGTTAGATTGAAAGGCTCTCTTGAGGTGATCTAGTTCTTCTTCCAGATGTTATGGCTCACAGATTCTCCGCGCACATTCCGTTGATGTTGTTATAAGACCACGCTTTCGACTAGAGTAGTTCGCTGTCTCAATTTTTCGCCTTATCCTCAGGTAGATTCCTGATTGCTATTTTTGTACTGGCTGTGTTTTCTTCGGCAGGCACATGCAAAGCTATTGACTTTTGTCAAAACTTTTGTTTCCTCCTCTGTAAAGCTTCGATCCGTGAGATTGATGATCTTCATCTGGGGAATTCTGAACCTGTTTTTTCTGGAATTTTTGATATTCTTGAACCTATCCTTTCCTAGTTCGATCTAGTCAATTTTTCATGTTCCATCTTGTGGTTATGTATTGTTGCTGTCTGCTGATCTGGATATTAAAGGAATATTCATGAACGTCTTAATCCATCAAGTTCCTGAGAGCTTATGCAAGTTCTTACGCAAGCCAAAATAACAAATTTATTTATTTACAAATTCAATACATTACAGAATTAAATATTCTCAATGGTACAAAGATACACTACCATCCAAGGACATACCAAAGTGGCACAGCCAGCCACTCCCTGCAGGAAAGGCAAATTACAAATCTCTCAACATTCTCTTAACGAATACCAAAACCATAGTTAGTTCTGTGATAATTCTCGGAAAATAACTGCACTTATTGTCTTTTACGTCTTATTGGAATTAAAAATGTTATTAAGTTCAGAAGATTAGTGCAGGCAATTACTCCGTTGAGAAGTTTTTGGAGAAACTACAAATAAGCATTTCTTCGACGACACTCTGTTACAAATTAGTTGACATTTGTTACTTTAAGACAAGATAACCTAGGGTCGTGGAATTCAAAAAATTAAGATAACGTGTAGTCCCTTTATGTGCAAATGATACCACTCAAAATCCAACAAACAATAATTTTATTTCATATTTAACAATGTTATATGTAACATAGAGTAACAGTAAATGTTACTATAAAATTTTAGTGTTGACAGCTTGGTTTTTCCGGTGAATCTGATACCATATACCTTTCCAATCCGGAGCTTTTCAATGGGTGTTGGGGTTTCACTTTCGTGAACTGGAGCTCTTCGTGTTGTTTCCTGTATCCAGGAAGAAGATAGACTGCTGAGGTGACGTCATTCCAGCTAATCCAGACTCCAAACAGTGATCTTTATGTCGAGTAGGTACCCAGAAAAGAATAAGGCAGTATCAGGTTCACAAATATTTGGAATATTAAATCCCTGAATTCTGTCAAAAAGTGAGTGTCTTGCAAAGGAAATTGAAATTGAAATTTAATATAAAACGATTGTTGTACAGACACTCCCTTCCAACAGAATCAGGTATGAACAGCTATTGCAAGTTAAAAAAAAATATATTTTAATATAAAAAAAAATACAATCAAATAATTAAGAATAATGGTAAGATAATAATAAAATTAAAATAATAACAAGATTAAATTAAAATGCTCGTTATGAATGGGCAAAATGCTGCTTTCCTGACAGCAGCTCTGGCAGGCAAAAATACGAACAAAAATAAGGTAAAACAATAAGAGATTAAATCTCTAGATTCTCCCCTAAATAGACAAAATTTTCCTTTCAAATTAAGGTAGCAGGTAGCTACTATAGATACTACAAGATAAACTTGGGGTTGAAATTAATCAAATCCAGAATATGTCAAAATTCTTGAGATGTTCTTATTAAAACTTTTTTCTGAATTTTTGACCTGTCTGGATTTCTATTAAAAAAATTACACCCTTCAGTCGAGATAATAATTAAGGGAGTCAAACAGAAAATGGCTATTCAGGCCTCTGCCTGGATTCAATAAAGAGTTAATAGGGATGGACACAAAAATTTGGTTTTCACCGACTCTATTTAGAGCAAATGGTCCAATATTCCCACACTAACAATTGATTCTTCCAGAGCAGCAGTACCTTTTTAAAATCCAAAAATCTGAATTGACTTACCTCAGATAAACGTGGCACTACCAATCGACACTCACACAAAATGGAAGCCAACAATTAGATAAAAAAGATTAAAATATAATATTTATATTTCAAGAACAGGTAAGATAAGATTTATCAGGTAAAAACTTAATAATGATATGATAATATGCATTGATAGCAAAATATATCGAAAAATCCATAAGGGAGAATCCAAAAATACAAAGCAAAAATTATTCAAAATAAAGAGGACTTGCCTGCCAGACTTCTGTTGAGGAAAGAGATCGTTTTAAAAACCAAAGCCCACAGGAAAACGATCCTGTGTTTTTTTATACTTAACTGCATTTTAACCAGTTCAACCAATCAGACGAGTACACCCAAAAGATCATTTTCACTTCACAATGGAATCACAATGAACACCCACGTGGAATAAAAGAGAATAGATAAAAATCCACAAGAATTATTTTAATTGTTTACAAACAAATTATAATAATTTAAATTAAGGTTATGTCAAAAATAAAAAACCTTAAAAAACTGTTAATTAATTAGGTCATTTAGCTAAAATATGATTATTTGAGAATCAGAGGTTAGAGAAAGACAGAAATATATCCAGTTGCTAAAAGTGAGATAAATATAATTTCTTTGAATGAAAATACAAATGACTGTCAAATGCGAAATAATTAAAATCATACTTGGAAAATAAATCCATCAGGTACTAGATGGCAGTACTGGTAAATGAATAAAAGATATTTGCATTTTACGTAGATGATGGATAGATGGCAGCACTTGTATTATTTTGAACTTTGTGGATATTTTAGATTATTTTGCTGATTCTGAAATGGAAAAAATACGACTTTATAATGAAAATAAGAAGAGATGGAACATGTTACGTAAATGATAAATTTATCCTAACAACTCAAGGCTTTTGACACAAAAAGACAATAGTCTAGTGTATGAGGGACGTTACTATAAGGAAAGTGAAGCTTATACCACAGGTATTTAAGAAATTTACTTTGAATTCTTTCAAGTCTTTGTACCTACATGACAATCGTAACGAGGTGACCAGATCACAGAACCAGTACTCAACAAACTACGGACTAGACAATTATACATTATAAGGTGCTTAGAATTTCTTTTAATGAAGCCCAGCATCATAGCATCCTAAATCCCTTCAGAACCATGCTATCAATATGCAGATTAAACGTTAGGTCAGTGTCAAAAATTATTCCTAGATCGTTAATAGATGAATAATTTTCAATTATTGTATCCTTAAGGCATAAGTAAAATCTGTTTTTTTTTTAAGATAAAAGTGAAAATGACATTATGTTGGCAATACAATGTGAAATTGTCAATGCTTTCAATTTTTTTATGTAGAAAAGGCTTGTGTTGCCAACATAGTTACTAAATTTTTGACTTGGGGAATTATCTTTAAAAAGAAACGGACTTTATTATTCAATAGGTTCTGACGTTTGTGGAAATGGATGGATTTGCATAGATATTAATTGACAAGAAATTAGAATTGCACCACACAACAAGTCTGTCAAGATCAGACTGCAAGCCATCGAGACCAGGGACAACCGTGCTAAAAAGTTTGAGGTCGTCGGCGTATAGGAGGCATTGGGCTGCTTTAAAACACAATAGAACATCATTTATAAATAATGAAAAGAGCACAGGACAGATATGCGAACCCTAGGGGACGCCAGAGGTTACAAGTACGCCATAAGATACAGAACCACAAACAGTAACAAGCTGACGACACTGAGATTGGTAAGATTCAATTGCCTCAATGTAATTACCAGAAACACCGATCTCAGAAAATTGCTTTATCAGTAAAAGATGACAGACAGTGTTAAAGGCTTTAGATAAATCAGTGTACCTGACAGCCAGCTTCAACGGATGAAACAAGAAACTCCTGGTAAACTGCTAGCTTAGTATAGGCAGAACAACCTTTATAGAAACCATGTTGTTCAGGAGTAATGTAGTTTTTATATGTGTAAAAAATTTCATCAGTAAGAATTCAGTCAAAAATTTAAGGTATGGCAGAGACAAGAGATATTCCACGATAATTGTAATTACTGTCAGCCCACCTATCACCCGACTTGAAAACAGGAAGAAGATAAGATTTTTTCCAAAAGGAAGGAAAGTTACCTGCATCCATCGATCTTTGAGAACATGGAGCTTACAAGGGAATAGCAACAAGATTTCAACAATAAGGGTGTAATACCAACAGGGCCTGCTTTCTTAGATTTATCCTAGGATGATAACTTCTCGATATTTGCCTCTGTGGTAAAAATATGAAAAGACAAAGTAGCAGAGAATTCCATAGAGC